ATTGCGATGGAAAATAATTCCACCATTTATACATGTATACTTATGGCAAGATAAGATACAGCTTAGAAGGGAAGCATTTGTTTTCGATATGAAATATATGTCGTAATCCGAGACTTATCTTGTGAAATAAATATCGTGAACGTACAATAGCAACATATTGTTTTGTTTCCTGTTTGGTTTGTTCATTGACTGTCAATAATTTTTATGCTACAAAACGCTGCTCGCCGATTCTGGATCGGAGAGATCAGTGATTGATATCATGGCCAACGTCAATGGGTGCGACGGCACACAATCAGCCGAGTCCTCGTGATTATGTACACACAAAGCCATTCAGAAAGTGGTCAAATGTAACAAATGTTATATTTGGGATAACACTTTCTTAGTAAAGTACTCATTCTCGTACTTGTTGGGGGGCTAGTCCCATCCGGGATTCGAACCCACACATCCAGGGTGAGGCACCTAATCGCCAGCACACAAAGTCAGCGACCTAACCCCCTCAGCCAGCGAGGCTTCCACAAAAAATGATCCGACAACTGGTAGTCTAAATCATGTACTTTGTGTACCCCTCGTGATTATACTTGACCACCCGATCGATTTACTAGCCTGTTGGTCGCCAGTTGTAATTGGATTCCCCTCTGAATCATGCGGTAGGTACATAAGGTACATATATAGCGTTGTCTATATTACTTCCATTTGTATTGGTTATACCTACCGAGCAAGATGCTATGTGTCCCAATAAGAAAGTCGATACTTGTTGCGAAGATTGCTGTCACCATTCCAATGCAAGTTATTGTCGCTCCCAAAAATAACGTCTTTCGGACTCCGATTAAACTAACGATGACATGCATAGAAATAAGAGCTGAAAATGGAAATGGTTGTGATATATTCGTCATGTACATAAAAGTAGGACTCGGTTTCAAAATTTGAATATTAACGATCACAGACGCATTGTGTCATTATCATTCAATGATGACGTGCGTGAGTATATTTGATACAGTTTAGATAATCAATATGAAAAGTAACAGAACAATTTATGTGACGATTCTTTGATAGTCATAGTCAACAATATCGCCGTTGGTTTGTTAGAAAATGGTGCTGACCAGACGAACTGGTGGTTGACAGCATGAAGTCTAGTCCAGGTACAGTGGCACGGCATCTAGTATTTGATTCGGCTCACAATATTCCCATTTAGGGTTTCTCATATGTACAAATTGGAAAGCATATTTATTTCTAAACTTTCGATCATTTACGCAGCACGCCATACGGGCAATAATTCATCAAAAGGAGCATAAATATGTATTACTAGATTAAGTATTTTGGGGATAAGTGGGTATTGCCATATATATATACACACCACCGAAGCTGTAAAACCCAGCATTGACTCCCATCAAAAGAGTTGTTTTTGCTGTCGATGCCCCGAATACTTTCAGGTATTCAACAAACAGCATGGCAAGTCCACGGCTGTAGCCAATCATTAATCCGAGGTTCAGGAAACTTCCTTGAAATAAAATTGTAGGCATATGTCAAATGGTCATCACCGCTATGATGTATTCAGATGGATGAGAAAAATCAATTCCGTCTAAGGTGCAAATACAAAATCTTCACCTGAAATATGAATGAGGGGGTTTAACGTCGAATTTCTCGGTATTGCAATTGTACCAGGGCATGTCAACTGAACTTGGTGGAAAGCCTGAAGTGATGCTGGAGTAAGATGTTTACTACTTTGGTGAAATCCACGATAATGGTATGGTGCTGATAAACAAAGAAACATAATCGGGGTGAGCCGGGATTCGAACCCACAATCATAGGTTTCTGGCGTGCTCAAGGGACGCAGCTCTGCACAGCCAAATGGGCACCTTAGACGACTAGCCACCCGTGCCCCCTGATGGAGGTTTAAGACGTGTATCTGGTGACGTCTACGAGTACGGGTATAGTGCTGTCAAACCACGAACCATCAAGGCGAACCGGGATTCGAAGCCAGGATCATAGATGTTGACGCTTTTGACGACTGGACCACCTGTACCCCCGCAAAAGTACAAAACGAACCTTTCACAACGTACTACATACTTACAGAAAACATTAGGGTTTCACTCCGGTTTCAGCAAATTTCAAGATTTCACGGAAGGGGACACAAGGAATTGTTGCTCAGCTGTGTGGAGCGTGTGTGGCCCAGCTGTACAAAGCACCGTTGTTTACAATCCCTTAACCATTCCATGATCTGATTATTGTTGAATTGAATTCGATACTCGTACTCGTTCCCAAAAGTGGTAGACTGCGTCACAATTACCTTTCTTCCCTAGTTAGACAGACACCTAAATAGTACTGAATTACTGTTCACCGTGGCCGATCTCACTTATTCTTACGTCTCCTAACGTTTCAAGTGGTTAGTTATTAAATGATTCCACTCTGTAATTGTAAACTGCCTCCTTTAAATACTTTGACCGCCTCGGAGAAGATACACCAAACGTTGTACAAAAAGACGTACTTGTTGTTACCCTGACTGTGCTCGCCATTAAGGGGATAAACAAGGACAGGTCGATTCGGAGTCACACGCACACTTACGCACACTAGACACCCACGAGAATGCATGAGGCTAGATAAGAGTAAAAATCCTAATGAGATGTTAAACCCTATCTAACTAACCTCACCTTTTCTAATTTAGCAAATACCATAAGCGAGATTCACAACGTATATCTGTTTATATGCAGTTCCATTATTCAAATTAAAAACACAACATATTCATGATGCTCTCAACTGCATACCTGCGAGAATAAGCCACGCCCAGCCTCTGTCGACAGGGAGACTGTCGTCATCCTCTTCCTCTACCCCTTCCTCTTCATCCTCATCATCGTGTTCAGTACACGGCTTCATTCTATCCACGTCCTTGCAATCCACGTCATCGCCTTGTCTATGTGCCTTTACGTAATCATCGTGTACACGTGTTGGTGTGACTACGTCACGGCTGTCATGCTCTTCAGCGTCACATGTGTCACGCTCCACTCCGACATCGTCGTTCTCCAAGGCAGGCATGACGAAGAAGAGACACAAATCAGCTGTGTTACCTTGAAAGTCCACATGGGATCTGATCCTATAGTTAACGGTCCACAAGATTATAAATGTATACGGTGACCTTGTTTGCGCCCTCCAAATCCATATCTCTTTCGTTATTACCTTGCAGCTACCACGTGCCTGTTGGTCGGTCTTCTTCCAGTCACGTTCTGCTTACGACTGGCCGGGACATATGCAACTAATTGTGCGTGCCACTTTTGTAACGATATTTCTTTTACTTTTTATAACCTTTGAAAAAACTGTCAGAAATCATAACAGTATTTATTTGTTTGAAACAAAAAACTGTCACATACCCACTCATTTATTCCACGTATTCCATGACCTTTGACATTACAAATGTAACATCTGCACTACTACAAGATTAAAAGATAACGAAAGAGGAATACAGGTGTTCCGTCTTATCTCAGCATAGGCATACGTGTTGTCATGGTGTGGCTACGGGACCAACCATTGGATAATAAATGCCTGGGATTCTAATGGTGATAAGAATTTTATTTTCAGCCACTCTGCAAGTCCAGATATTGTTTTATTAAAGGTATGAGTCTAAATATTTATTTGAATAAGCATCTTGTATTATTGTGGCAGACAATTTATTTTATTTCAGCAGACCAAATTCGAAGCATAATTATTTTTTAATTTAATTTAATCATAGCCCACCTCACCACCCACCCACCGGAATACCCAACCATGAGTCCCTTCTTGTATTACTATCGTGTCAAATAAATTTACAAACTTGACTGCGAATGGAGTTGGTCAACACACGCGGATATCCAATGATGGGTCCCTCAGTATTGTGTCTACAAAACTGCAAACGTGACCTCGAGTGGCTTTGGTCAACACGCCAGTATCCAATCGTGCATCATCTGCACTTAACATTCACGTATGGTTGGCGGTAGACACTCAGTAAACATTAACGTTCAAGGTCTTGAAACGTGACACCAATAAAGCACACTGTCACTGAACTGTCACGCACATCCTGTAGTATGTGAATTTGCATTGTGAAGCACCTTATATACAACAGTATTTATTCATGTACAGTACCTTGAACTATCGCTGTTTCTGTGTGCTGACATGATGTCCTTGTTTGCGTGAGAATACATTTTTATATGCAATGCGCGTTATGTGGATGACTTTAATGGCATAAAGATAACGGTTACACAGATCTAAGAGATCATCGTATTTCTGACCGTGAATATCGGGTGTTTTCTTATCTTGAGTTACAGAGTGAGATGGGAAAATCTCAACTATTCCAAACTATTCCATCTCAGCTATTCTAAACATGATAAAAGAATAAACACAACAAATCAATAAATATAATAAATGTTCCTAGAATAACAATATCGCTCTCTAATTTATGAGTAATTCAACGCATAAACCTTTTCTTTTCTTCCCATGAGTAAATACTTGATGCGTCACTGTTGGTTTATCCTCAGTCACCTAATGTCAAGTTTCACCAAGGCCTGTCAATAGTTGAATTTTTATATCACGAACGATCCACAGCATCAGGGTCACATGAAACCTGGTCAGACGAGGTACCGAATCTGTCGGAGACCTACTGCCAATGCAAGAGCTCAGCTAACCAAGGGTTCAGCATTGTAACCGCCCGATCATTATTACATTGTGTCTGTTCTTGCAACAAGTATACCTATGGCGCATTGGGCCATGAGCTTTTTGACAAAAATACCTTTCAATCTTAATTAATAAGAGCCTGAAAGCTCGGGGAGATCTTTCTGTTCTGATTTTCATTGTCATAGCAAAAAGTACAGAAAGCCTTAGGGAAGACGGATGTTTCAATCATTTCACGTTTCAGCAGAGATATCAAGGTGAGTTAAGTGAGCACCCTTGACGTTTTCAGCTTTTGATCTTCCAGTGCAGGTGTCAAAAGGATAGCTTAAAAAAAATTGATGTTCAGCCTTCGAGTTCACACATTGTAATGCTAAGTACGGAAAGCTGTAATGTCACATGTTACACGAAACGCCAAGGAACTGGGGATCAGTTTATGCCAAGGTGCATTCATAAGCCCTTGTGTATTGTTATATGGTATAGCATTGTTTGATACTCACCGTGCGTGCTCCAGTCACTGCATGAAGTCCCCCGTCGCACCCACTTCAGATGGCTATGTCAGTAGGACAGTGCTTTCTATGTTCACTACGGTGCAGTGTTTGTATTAACTACAGTGGCCCTATTGCATAACCAAACGGTGATTTTACAACTATTCTTTTCTACTACTCCAGGCTTTGATTTATCTGTCCAGATTATGGAAGGTGGTGTATTCCTGACTTACAACTGACTTTCAATAGACAGCAAAGAGATATATGAAGTATATTCCTCCAGCCTGACCTAGTGATACAGTGCGACAACACGGTCAGCGAGTCATTATCACTTTGAACCTTATCCTGTCTATCCATCATGGTATGTGAAGTATTTATTTGCTATTGTGATCAAATATGGAATGTATGTTCTCTACTTAGAGTTGTAGTAGATACGTTTGTATCGCCACGACGTTTCAAAATATGGTCATAATCTAGTATCTGTTGTATTGTCCTAATATCCCGAAGATAGTATTTGAGTGAGTGAGTAAGTTGGGTTTAACACCGCTTTTAACAGTATTCCAGTCATATCGCGGAGTGTCAGTTTAATGTGGGAGGAAAGCCCAAAGTGATGCAGGTCTCAGACGTTTGCCTCTTCGGTGAAACCCACGTGCACGGGTATGGTGCTGACAAACCTAGAAACAAAATCGGGGCGAACCGGGATTCGAACCCAGAATCATAGGTTTCTAGCGTGCCCAAGGGACGCAACTCTGCACAGCGAATAGCGGCGCCTCAGACGACTGGGCCAGCCGTGCCCCCAGATAGTATTTGATGTCAGGCACTAAACAAGATGGCGTTACACCCTTAAGGCAGCTTGATTAGAATCTCACTTATCTCACATATCTAATATCACGATAATCGCCTTGAATGTATACGATGTACACCATTGTTCCCACGTGTAGTATATACAGGTAGCATTCAAGTTACATAATTTGTAAAACAACTATACAATCATGCTTTCGACGATAGGTGTACACTTGAATGTCATGTTCCTGATCTTGAGATGCGTGTGAATGTCGCAGACGTATCAGCAGATATAAAAACTTAATTATAATCGCGCATTCAATTGAGGCGGATTTGATGCTGTTGCCTCGAAGACCCATATATGTATTGGTTAATGATATCCACAGAGCGCAGCTGATAATGATCAGTAAACCGTATAGCGCATTATAGTTTGCTTCACGCTGAAACGATATTTCAAGCCAAAAAAGGTTAATTTGTTTATTGTTGAACGTCCTTTCAAAGCATTGACATGGAAATTGAAGTTGACATTCGCTTGTTTATCTTGAAGTCACAAAAATCATATATTGAATTTTCGTCCAGGTTCTAACAATATATATAACGAATAACGAATATATGGTACCTTGAGTATAACTGTTAAGACATCTACATGAATATTTCAATCGTGTCACATTATCCAAAAATTTGCGACGCCAGATGGCTAGTTATATGTTCATTTTGGTAATGTCTGATGAATAAAATCTGACTTTTTAGGAAGCCACAAGTTTTGTCTTTTAAAATATTAGCGATTTAATATGACTTATAAACCTGATTCAATGTGATTCCTAATAGTTCTTCTATTCTTATCAAATCGAATAACTAGGGGAGAGAACAAAAGAACAATAGCTCCTATATATACACATGTTCCAGTGTAGTTGAAGCAGGCATCGTAAGTACCAGTTGCATCTCGTAAAATACCTACAACAAAACATATCATTAATAAGACAGGAAGTTAATTATCTTACTTATGATAATAAAACTAGTATATTGTCCCAATGATACAAAAATACATTTCAATTTAATGATCACATATGCTTATTATACAGTTTACACGTATATAAATAGGTAAGGGGGAGAGACGGGTTAGAGAGATAGAAATAGAGGGGGAGAGAGAGTGAGAGAGGAGTGAGAGAGAGAGATAGGAGAGAGAGGGAGGCAAGGATGTAGAATATAGTAGTCTAGAATATGATGTATATTCAGAACAGAGAGACAGAGATAAAGAGAGAGGGTGTGGGAGGTGGGAGGTCACGAGGGGTACATAATTTATTTTTAAAAATACAGCTACTCTTTTATGTAGTGTCAATGTGAAAGCAGTGGAGCAAGTTCAGTTACATTTCATGTTATTAAATATCTTGTTTGTCTGCTGATGTTCTGATGTCATTGTGATCAACTTACCTATTATCGGGTGTGTGATGAATCCAGATATACCATGAAACATAGCCATAAATCCAAGAGTCTTCCCCATATCTTCCAAACCCATGAACTCCACGACAGCTACCGGTATCAAGCAAAGATGAAAACTTCCAAATAGTCCTGAGATCACTGTAAATAGTAAAAGGTGTAGGAAGGTGTGGTAGAACCAAGTAAACTGGTTCACAGTCCCAGTGATGAACAAGCCAATCGCCATTAGGTGGTAAACTTTCACATATTTCCGATCAACCACGGCCCCAAGACACAATCTACTCAGGAAATCCACCGCGTTGAAAATCGTAAGCAGCATTGCAGTGTCTGTTTTGGATATTCCCTTTTCCATAGCTAGAGAAGGCAAATAAGCTCCATTAAGAGCAACAAGTATGGCCCATGGCCCAAAACATATGATAAATTGAAACAATGGTTTCTTAAACAGCGTGAAGTCAAGATGGAGTCGTTTAGTTAGACGGATACAGATTTGTTCCTTGGCAGCTGGTTCCTTTTCTTTCTCGTCTCCCCGTGATTCCCTTATCTTCTTGGTTGTTCGGAAGGACTCCAATGGTCTGAGGAGCAGGGCTCCAATCCACATGTTCATGCTGATCCCAGTGAGAATAATCATTGTTCCTCTGAGGGCGTATGTATCCAAGAGGAATCGAATAAGGGGAGGGAAGACCATACCTCCAAGGCTAACTCCAGATACTGACACAGTTGTTGCCCAACCACGTCTCTTCTTGAAGTAATGTCCCAGTATTACCAGGCACGGCGAGTGTATCAGTGCATTGCTTACACCTTCAACATAAAGGATATTGTTTTCTTATAATTGACCATAGCATCATACTGCAATTACCACCCCTTCTCCAGAATAACAAATAGGCCCATTTACCCCATTCCTTGACAAGGCTTACTACGTTCATAAAGCTGTCAAATACTTTTAAGGTGGTCATGTGGGGGACATTTCCAAGAATGCTGTCCAATGCAATTGTTTTACTTGTACCATATATTCCCAAGTTTGTTCGGGTAGATACGTGACTTTGATTTTGAAAGTGTTTGAGAATGGCGCCACAAGTTTGGCAAGATATGGTCATCTTTGAGCGAACATCCTTGGTATCAGCTATATAATAGTAAATCACAAACTCATGCTTATCATATAGTCAGGGGGCGGTCGCGTAGCCTAGTGGTTAAAGCGTTCGATCGTCACGCCGAAGACCCGGGTTCGATTCCTGACATGGGTACAATGTGTGAAGCCCATTTCTGGTGTCCCCCGCCGTGGTATTGCTGGAATATTGCTAAAAGCGGCGTAAAACCAAATTCACTCACTCACTTATCATGTAGTCAGAATCGTACAACGGATTCTGCGTTTAGCATTTATTTCTTAATGTGATTTATTCGAAGTTCTTCGTCGCTTTTATTTGAATAACTATGACTGAAACGTATATCAATAACTGATTTTGATAATGTCCAGTGATTTGTTATATTAATATTATCATTTTTTATGTTCATTTTGTCGTGAATGTAGTGAATGAGGCATTACACATAAGAGATAATACATATTCCCTGATCAAATATACATGTATGTAGTTAGTACTATTTACATACTAAAATTACACAGTTCACCTGTATAAAGAACCGTCACATACGCTTACCCATCAGAATACTGTGAGTGCAGATAAGATAGGTAATACTTGTAGCAAATATAGCTGTGGTCATTCCAATAACATTCAGTGTTACCCCCAGGAGCACCGTCTTCCTGATGCCAAGTACTCCCACAAGGATGTGCATAGTAAACACAGCTGAAACAGACGTTTTTAAAATACAAATAAGTACAGCCGTATAAGAGAGAGAGAGAGAGGGGGGGGGGGGGGGGGTCCGGGAGAGAGAGAGAGAGAGAGAGAGAGAGAGAGAGAGAGAGAGAGAGAGAGAGAGAGAGATCTTTGTAAATGTAATATTACAACTTACTAATGCCTTAATTAACCAATTCTTTGACTTATTTATGGTTTTCTGTATCAACTGTGCCAAGAATCTAAAATACCAAAACACTGATGACACACAGGTTCAGTAATGAAAGATTAGAAAGTCCTCCCGTTTAATTATATATATTGCGATCTACCAAAACATGAATAGTAACATTTAGCCCAGTATTGTTAAGGAACGGAGAGTAAGAAGTATATTCCCCAAATTATTCCACAACCCTACTTTTAAACTTATAAAAACTATTTGAGTGTAGACTGTATGTGGACTGTATCTATACTCTAACGATGTTGTGTGTGCACCAAGACCCAACGCGAGCTGATATTTACAATTCAAGGCACACTGCACTTTAAAATTTCCAGGGTCCTGAAATAGTTTTTTTTTCAATCTCTTCCACGTTGCAAAACACGCAGATTATAGTGAATATAGAGTCATAAACAGGGATGTATATGTTTACTTGATTTTTTCTCGTTTTATATATGCTCATTGTCATCGGTAACCTGCTGTAACACAATGGTATATACATTTTAAGGATTATGCACATATTTGAAAATATATAAAAGTTAATTTCAAAAGGTACCGTCATGTATTGACGTCCTCAAATCAAAGATGCGGGTTCAAACCCCGCATGGGACACATACTTCTCAAGAAAAATTGAAATCATAAAATATAAAACAAAAAGTGCCTCATTCTAAATGTAAATAATGGTTCCAGATAATTTTAATTGACCAACAACTTTTTATTTCTGAACAATAATGGAACGACAATAGAACAATACAATAGAACAATAGGATGACGTCACAATTGTGTTTTATGCCAGTGGCGATAACGAACTATGTCCTGTCCTCATCGGGATCGTTTGTGATGCCCAAAGTTTGCTTTGAGCAAATATTCCATCAATCTTAAGACAGGTTACGACAATGTGAGGAACCATCACCGATCGGTTAATCACTATGCTATCCTTTGTTTGAATAGAAAATATGGACTTTTTTATATCATACTCACATGCAATGCTGTATGCGCCTGTTATAACCCCAAAGAACAGCGTTGCTTTCGATGCAGGTACGTCAAATACGTGGACATATTCAACGAACAAAATAGCGATGCCTTTGCCGTAGCCTACCATTAGGAACACGATCAGGAAGCAACCTAGTTGGGAGATTCGACATTGCCATTAGTAGTCACATACTACATAAATTCTGTCATAGCTAAATCAGTAACAGATCTATTCCGGTATTCACTAAAACCATAGATTAAAATGTACAGATTAAAATATAAAATGCAGCAAAGAGGGTTTGGGTGATCCTGGCAATGTCTGGCCTGTTAGGCTCATCGTTAGCTCAGGGCCCTTGCCTCCTCAAGACGCAGACCAGACAGCGGATTGGACTTCTCCCAGGAAGCGCTGCCCAGACGAACCCGACCAGAACCTTTCGGAGAATGTGAAAACTACCCAACACTGCAGTCTTCTGCATTACACAGGTTGTCAGAAGGGTTGTATCCTTGGCAGCAAACCCGGGTACTCTTCCAATGTCAGTCAACAGATAGGGAGGTACCAAACCTTAGGCACCGAGAACAATGGGGAGTACTTGGTACTTGGGATGCAAGCGTGACATTTCGAAAGCAACATTCGCATATTTGCAATGTTTTTTCCTGGCTGGTGACGGGCCGATTCCAAAGAATGATGTATTTATCATGTTCCATGACGCCCTCTACATATTTTGGACCGTACCATTAATGGACCTATATGTCAAACATGGCGAAGACGGTAATACAATGATCGAGCCACTCCATCATGTCGCTTTAGATACTGTGTTTGTGCCAAAGCTCGGAATCCACTGACAATGTGTTGGACGGTCTCATTAAATTCATTGTATAATCTACATTTCATATTTACATTCTGATGCAGAATCACACATTAACGGTTTCGAGTGGGAAGTGACTGGTCATGAGCAGCAAACAAAGCCTTCTGTTTCACTTTTCAGGCAAGTCGGCTTCATCCAAGCAAAGGACCATGTAAGGTTACTGATCTTCGTAATACACTGCACGTAGGTGGTCGTTCGGATAGCCTCTCCTTGAAAAACTGGGCCGATTTGATTTGGTTGACACTCATTTCTGTACCGTCCAGCAGTACAGAACAATCAACAAAATCAACACAGTCTTTGAGATTATGTCGCACATCTTTGGCTCCTTTAGGAAACTGTGGAATGCCTTGTTTTCATTATGAGTCTTGACAAGTTTCACAAGATAATCATAGGACAAATAAATTGATGCAAAAGTGTACAATACAATTCTATCATGAAGAGCCTCTACGTTTATCAAACCACGACCTCTCATTATAACTGGTAAATACTACCATTATTAATTTTATCGTTATCACCATCATCATGATCATCATCATGATCGACATTACATCATCATCATCATCATTATTGTCACAATATTGCGTCAAAATTAATATACGATTAGAAAAAGTAGGGGATCATGAAATATAAATGTTCATGGTATTAGAACAAAGTGTTGACGACACACCCTATGCCAGAACGTTTGTGTCTGCCAAATCAAATCAAACACCATAACACACCCGATACGTACATGCAGGGTGTCATTTCTCATTATGAATGTGAAGGAGTCCTATTTAACCCTTTGGACCATGATTTTTTGTCAATCTTATTGATACTGAGTCGTGATTTACTATATTTCATTCATTTTGTGTGAAGGAACTAGCGATGTAGCGTCTGCAGCGTGCGGACGGTCTACGGGCTTTTGACATGCTGGAAACTGGAACAAGTTAACGCCCGTACTTACTGTGCACGAATCGTCAATGCTCACATCCAGCTGCACAACATCCTTCAAATGTGATGACCAGCAAAGAGCCCAGATCTTTCCCCCACTGAACACGTCTAAAAACGATTGGGAGACGTTTGCGTCATTTGCCGCCGACCACGTTGGCTGAAAAGGTGCTGCCAGGGGAGTAGGACAGACACCCTCAAATCGCTTGGGTGACCCATACGCAGTATGCCTCGTCGAGTGACATTCGTGACCAACTCGTGTTATTCCGGGACAAGCCGAATAGCGACTCGTGTCGATCTCATGGCCATTTTTGCGACCGGGTTCCGTCTTAGCGCTAACGGACATGCCTAAAACAATTGTCAACTCGTTGCGTATTGCGTATTTCCCCATATATCATACATATTTCAGAAGCAATTTAAAGCACATCTGGATTGATGATTGAACACATTTAACTGTGTCTTTGGTATATTTTTAGAAGCAAGACATATGCAAAATCACAAATTATTTCTGAGGGATTCTTTGACGGAGAACTGGAAATCATACGCGCATTCTGATTGGTTTGTCGTATTTTCGCACATACCATTCATCGATAGGGGGACGAGTCTTCTTGTAGGTTACGGAAAGGGGCGAGTGGTGAAGAATGGTCTAGTGAATGAATGTGCGGCAAATCGTGACACAATTAGGCACTTCTGATGGAAAAACGTGAACTTTGAAATTTCCTCTCTTACTCCAATCGTCCTTCAAGATGGTTGGCGGCAGTAACATCTTCTGTCATACTATGATATCGGTTGTGATGTGTTCCCCATTCGTTCATTATTATCAAACAACTATTATACTAACTAATATCTCCAACAAGTTTGGAAAGTTTCTGTTATTTCCGGGTATCCCCTACATTTTTACAAAAGAATAGTTCATATTTACCTACGAGTACAACCCAGGCCCATCCACGGTCAATGGGCAGATTATTGTCTTCTTCTTCCTCATTGCTTTCACTTGGCTCTTTATTTATTTGTGTATTTCTCATTAATTTCAAGTTTTCAATCTTTTCATCGCCCTCATCATCATCATCATCATCATCATCATCATCATCACTACCAATCTTCTCCGTCGCCTCTGTTTGCTTGTGTTTACTTCCAGGCTCCGCTTGTGTGGTGCCGCTGTGGCAGCTGACGACAGAGGTGGGGCTCCCATTATCACAATCCAGATCCACTGACTGCATTTCCAAACCATCGGTTTTGGTATAACTGTCCTCGCTTCGTGAAAGATCCGACTGAGGTTCGTTTCCATCATGTCTGTCAGTGTGTTCCCCGGTATTGTTTAGGTTGTTAATTTCCATTATTTGAACAATCTTTTATCTTCTTGCGAGAGCGTAGAGACAGAGGTGGAACTGTCATTATCACAATCCCGATCCATTGGCTTCATTTCCAAACAATCTGTATTGATATAATTGTGTTTGCTTCGTGAAAGATTCGACTGAGGTTCGTTTCCATTGTCACTGTGTCCCTCGGTATTGTTTGGGTTGTCAGTTTCCATTATTGGAACCGATCTTCTTGCGAGGGTTTAGACACACCTGAAGTAGACACATAGAACAATATACCGACTGAATGTGATAAACATGCCAATGAAGTTATAACGTAGGATGCTCAAAGGGGGTAGTTTCACAACGTTCTTTGAACACTGACGTCACTAAATTATAATCTTTTTGCCTCACGGCCAAAGCACTCTATGACGTTATGAATGGAATGTCAGAAATTGAGGAAACATCGTAATAACGTTTTCATTACACTAACAAAACGATTTTCTGACTTTTTCTCTTGGTAGTGTTGTTAAATACGAATGGAAAAATGGAAAAGTAGCTTTTATTTGTCAATTGTTAAGTACACTTAAATGTCTCTAAATATATGAGTAGTTCAACGCATATATTTTTTTCCACCCTTGAGGTGTGAGTAAAATGATTAACGAAGCCAACTAGTTTTCTATTTACTTCAGGAGTTGATGGGCGTGTCACTGTTGTTTATGCCTCATTCACTAAGTGTCCAGTTTCACCACGGCCTGTCAATAGTCGAGTGCTGAACCTCTGATCACGAGCAACGATCCACAGGTTATAATTAGGGGAAACATGATAACTGCTCAGACAAGGTATCGAGTCTGTCCACAGGATCCCGAAATTAGTTGGAGACCTACTTGTGTTGCACAGAAGAATTTCTCTCCCAAGAGCTCAGCTAGCCCAGCACAGTAAAAATGTAACCATCAGTTCAACATGGGATCCATGTGTTTTCTGACATAAAAAAAGCCTTCCATCTAAATCAGTAAGAAACTGTTAGTTAGGGTGGCTCATGCTGTTCTGAATTTATAAATAGCAGAAAGTGTAAACTTTGTAAATCGCAATTTTCATGGACCGGCTGGCACATGGGGACCGCCATATGACAAGAATATTGCTGAGTACAGTGTTTAACAACAACGAAACAAAGGGAGGGAAAGATTTAAGCTTTATGTCGAAACGTAGTGCATTTGTATACAGTGTTGCACCATACTCTAACTTACCGTGCTCCTGTCAATGTATCTTGTCCTAGCACCTTTATCAGATGTTCATGTCAGAGATCAGTAGTGCAATGTATATTCACGACAGTCTTGTGTCAACTGAAAGGGAGAACCAAACTAGCCATGCCATTACAGACTTTTCTGTTCTACAACATCATATCTTACAACAGAATCAGGGCCATGTCTATCCAGAATATTGTTGTCAGTATGGTCATTTGTATCCTCCTCCACATTCCACATACAATTAAGTGCTCTTATCGGCTATAAATGGTTCAGGATTGATCTGATAACCTTGTACGTGTACGATAGTACAGTCACCTGACCCATAATTACATTGGACTTTGACCTGTGTATAAGCCCATCTGTTGCTATTCTGCTTTACCTATTGCTGTGTATCGCCACGTTTCGAAACATTGTATAGTTCAATAGAAGTCATTTTTTTTAGGAACATTAAAAAATACGGGGAACAACAAGCTATGAGTCTCTGTACGGACCTCTTATCCCGGTTACAGTGATGTGTGTTGTCAAGATGGTGTTCCAGTTAATGAAAAGAGGTCGACTGATAAAGTGACAACGTATCTCAGGATATTATCACAATTGTCACTGAATGTACCTTATGTATACCGGCTCGGGTAATTGTGAGATACGATATTTATAAGACATGTTTGTCATAAAAAAATAATATGGACACTTGTTTTGCATGTTTCACATAATTCTACATATGATATAACATTGAAGGTTTTTCTGATCATTTCAAAGTCGGAAATGAAACACAATGACCGCCATTCAGGCAACGCTGATAATTTCAGAAAAATTATAAACCAAAAATATATGATAATGTTTAACAGTATGTACCCCTCGTAAATAAATAAGTCACATGTGTTCGGTAGAAATCATCACAAAAGTCACATTTTTCCTTCGTCTTGTAAACGCCAATATCATAAACATGGCCTAGGCATTTATATTGCGATCTCATTTTGGTAGGGATATAACATAGTCGTTTCTTTTGATTTATTGTTTCATGAAACGCTGTCATCGTTGTAAATTTCACCGAAATAAGGCGGTAGTAAATTCCTCCTTGTCTCAACGAATCGTAAATATATCATGTGTGAATACGAGCATATTTCTTTTTCTGCCAGTCATGTGGCCATGTACGTTGGTACTTCATGGAAGTCAAAACATCATTTTGACACGGGTTTCCCATTAATCAATGCGACGTCATTCGCTATGCAGAGTTGCGTACCGTAGGGATGCCAGTATCCGCTGATCGAGCGTTTTAATACACGATTCTCTTCGATTATAGTCCTTGGTCTGACAGCAATATGCCTGTGTTTGTGGTTTCCAAATGACAAACGTCTTCTTGATTATGAGAGTCCCAAATTAGCTGATAATTGACTTGAATTTTCTCCATGTAAGTACAAAGACATGATATTGTCACCGGGTAGAAAAACCAGACTCGTCACGGTCTATTGACCTCACCGCGTCCCTCTCTCTTAATTGTCAAGCGTCGCTACCGTTCGGCAAAGCCCGGCGGTCGTCGTACTCAAATGTCTTAACGTTCACTGTAAAAGAATTAGTGACACGTCAATTTTATTCTCCAAAGGTTCAATTGTATATTTTTATCATGTTTCGATTTGACATATGTTATATCACATGTGTATGCAAACTTATTCATGTATTGAAATTGTTTTAGTAACTTTGATTTTCTGATACTGGAAGATATTGATCACGTATTTATGGTCATTATTGCCACCTCAATAATTGTACATATATTTTTTGTAAATCGGCGCTGTACTTTTGGTACTTGCATCTTCTGTATTGTTTCAGTAGTTAGTTGGCTATTTGGCCATTATTCCTTATGTTTGGAAACACACTTTGGTCACCTCAAAGACGGCGGCTGCTCCAGCATACAGCTGTCGATTAGAACAATGCAATCATAATCATAAACACATGTTGAGATGACGGGATGCTAGCTTCCATACTCAACATTGATAAAAATAATGAATTGAAGGAGTCAAAATTAAATGATAACAAGGCAGTCTGTTTGGCCTGTTACCTATCATTGGATGTGAATCCTTGGAATAAAATTGTAAAGGCAACAGGCTATGCCATATATTCGCCTCGCAATGAAATCCACTATAACAAATGGGAAAATGCAGTGATGGGAACTTCGAAAGGTGCCATTCACTACACAGTAGGCTACAGGGAAAGGCTACAAACAGAAACGCTCCATCGGATTGACTGTGTCCCCTATCCTTCATCTGTGCCAGAATGTATGTTGAAACGAACTGACTAATACCATAATGAGAAAAAAAACCATCGGATTCTTGAACAATGAATTTACAATATGTTTAACATTTTTCACATTCACGTATGTACCTTATTGTCCTTTGTCCTTTGTAGTTTTTGTTATTTCTGGCAAAGTTGTCAAGTATTGTTAAGTATTGACTAAGTCACTATGTCTGTAATACTACCATTTACATGTGTTTCACATACTGATCATTGCTTCTCTTCGAGCCTTCAGAAACTGTTCTCCCCCTGGTGGAATCCCTGGATGCTCGGGTAATAAATTAGATCCATTCTTCCAACCTTTAAAAGGTATAAAGCCCTGATTAACTTCACATGCACCGTAATTAATTTTAGAAATTATATCACAGATTTTCATTTATGTTTATCATTCTGTGAAATATTGTGATTTTATCTTTAACTGATACCGTTCAGTTTCTTCTTTCACATCTTCACCAACGAAGCCATCATGATGTCCATCTTCTGTGCCTTTCGTATTTGTGTCCTTTAATACAGACCTAGAGGTCGATAGAGGGATGTTCATACCCACGTGTTCTTCGTTGTGCCTGCATACGTGTTAGCAATGTTCCCCGTACACCATATTCATCGAGTAGAAATTGACCTAGCAGTGGGAATAAACCTGTAGCCAAACTATAGGCTGAACTGCCGTTGCTGTTGTTCATTTCTTGAAACAACTTCCTATGAGCACTAATCCAGGTCCAAGTATCATGGAATTTGCCATGACATTGAAGAATGCTTGATTCTGATTGGTTAAAAAGAGGTATCCTCTTTCCTATTGATACTTCTTTTTAATTAAAGCTTTTCACACATAAACTGTGCTTATGAAATCGTCGATCTATCGACAGCCTACATACACATTGATGCATATAACTATGGCTGCCGAGAATCCAAAAGAACATTGTGTGCACACAATTAAGAACAGCACAAACTAGCCGCTGTGTCAGGGCCACATACTCATCAGTCGTTGTCTGCAGGTAAAATTCAAGCAGTTGGAAGTTCGGATGGGGAGGTAGACATTCGTACATGTATCTGTTGGGAGTTATGTCAAACCAACTGCGACATATGTACATCTTCAAAATAACTAAATTCCGGTTATTTAATAAAGTGTGTTAAAGAAATAAATTCGTTCAGCATTTTATTTTCACTATTTCTATCTGTTACCCATACTATTAGTTATGGTGTCTTTAGTTGCCCTATACGGTGTCGTATTAGGTTATCAGGAAAATATTGGACGCGGCGTTTACACAATTTGGTATCTTTGTCGCACATGTCATGTCAAAAGAAAAACTTGACACTTAGAACCGGTATAAACGACAGGACCAGTAAATATGTTTCCGATGCAATGCTTTAATGTAAACATAAACGTCAACAATGCAATATATAATGCACTAAATGTGAACGTTTAAAGTACTATAGCTAAAGGGCAGTCGGGTAGCCTAGTGGTTAAAGCGTTCGCTCGTCACGCCGAAGACCCGGGTGCGATTCCCGACATGGGTACAATGTATGAAGCCCATTTCTGGTGTCCCCAGCCGTGATATTGCTGGAATATTGCTAAAAGCGGCGTAAAACCATACTCACTCACTCACTATAGCTAAAATGGATAGAATTATCATGAAAATGCCCGCATGTTAAGATAAATCTACGGGCCACTGTAACTTGATAGCAGTCTGCTTTCCCCTAACGACGGGTTGTTATCTCTTCTATTTCTATGTGATCGCCGCGAATAGCTGCAAAATTGCTGATGCGGCGTTAAGCAATATTCACTCACTCTATTTCTATGTGAAGTCATTGGCGTCACGTTTCTTGTTTGTGATGTCATCCTATATTATGTTCTATGACGATGCTATTTGTGACCCCAGTGACCTCCGTTGTAAGCTTTTTTTCTCTATATTTTTTATAAATAAAGTCACAAACGTGATTTCTTTAATAAATAATGTCTTTGCTCATCACAATTAATGATACAAAACACAAAGACACAAAACACAGTGTCGAATAACGAATTTCTGTACCAGGATTTCCATGTGAAATATGTGAGGTGGATGTTGGAAAATTCAAGATGGCTGTTACTGACGGCATACGGTCTCATATTAGGTCAGTCACAACCATCTTGGATTTTTACTGACGGATGCGGGCTCATGTGGGGTCACTAGTCCTGCTCTCTGCTTGGTCATTCTAACTTTGAGGCATAATAATATGGGAGATGCATGATGATTTCCAAGAAAGGACTTGTTGCGTGATGTGTCGCATCGACTTCCTGGAAATGCGAAATATGCAACTGTTTGCTATATGATTAACACATATATCTTCGAAAGGAAAACCTATGTGTTTTGAACCGTTTGTTTATAACTAATCAATGCATTGAGCATTTTAGTTTTGAACTGTGGTAATATTTGTAACGTTAATAACTACCCCGTGTCGGAATGTTCTAAGATAACGGACCTGTATGCCCATGAGTAATTACCCATTCCAAGAAAGTACCGTTTTCAAAGCGCTCTTGCTGTCATGGTAAAATGGAAATAAACGTACTGTGTTTTGTAACCCCGTGCTAAAGTGCTCGGTGCCCGACTTTAATAGGGGATATCTAATCTACAGTGAGACTAAAGCAAATGTCGAAATACATTTGGTATATCTCATATATGAGTGTGTATTCCCTTGCTTGCGAATAGATGGCTTGCTACTCCTTGTTTTGAGAGCAAACTCTGTACAATACTAATGCTACCTCAAATAAACTTCAAGCATATCCATTTAAAAGGTTTTATCGTAATTTAGTTTGTGAGTAGGCATTTACTACCTCGTCATTTCGTATGACTTGTTATTAAATGGTTTATAATTAGGTAGGTACTACATGAAAGTAAGTACTTTATGACAATCAAAACACCATGTTGTGCAAGCGCATCCACTGTTTAGAATGTTTGCTGGCCTGGTACCAAGACAGATTGACCTGTCTTTTCTTGTGATAATGAATCAACATGTTCTCATTATATTTTAAAAAACAGTTATGTAATGTACAGATACTGTACAGATGCTACAGAGCATATTCGGAAATACAGAATATCTGTCACACTTAAATTGATGTCGAAATCGATCGCATTTGGGATTGGCAAACTAAACTACCCCCACAGTATCAAAGACGAAAGAAAGCTAGTAATATATAGAGATACAAAAACAAGACCGAGCTATAACGAATCATTAATCAATGAAGAAAGTTTTACATGCTTCTCGCAGCGTATGTGTCATTGTTTTGATATCTACTTTATGCCCTTCATATATTCATTTGTCACTGTTTCCCATCAACAGCCCCAACCAAGGTGGGAGTTGCGTCCCTTGGGCACGCCAGAAACCTATGATTGTGGGTTCGAATCCCGGTTCACCCCGGTTATGTTTCTAGGTTTGTCAGCACCATACCCGTGCTCGTGGGTTTCACCGAAATGGTAAACGTCTGAGACCTGCATCACTTCGGGCTTTCCTCCCACATTAAGCTGACACGCCGCGATATAACTGGAATACTGTTAAAAGCGGCGTTAAACCCAACTCACTCACTCACTCACACTCACCCAACCATGGTGGAACCCAGGTCATATCCATTCCTCCTGACATGTCCTATTTGTAATCAGTGTCACATACTCACGGGAATGACCTTTTACTTTATTATGATACAATAAGAATCAACATTGTTATATATGTCAGCGTATCATTTGTCAGCTTTTCCAAGATTGAGCAAATAATCAATAGCGATAATCCATAAATATTAATGAATCCGCCTAATATTACAATGAATATTATCCTACTCTTATAAATGAGTATTTTAGTGGGAGGATGTTGATCACAGAGAATAAATGGTACACATCAACTAAGAAGTCTGAATAGTTTGGGGGCGGTCGGGTAGCCCAGTGGTTTAAGCGTTCGCTCGTCACGCCGATGACCCGGGCTCGATTCCCGACATGGGTACAATGTGTGAAGCCCATTTCTGGTGTTCCCCGCTGTGATATTGCTGGAATATTGCTTAAAAGCGCCGTAAAACCATACTCACTCACTCACTGAATAGTTTGTGTGTGGGAGTTACATGTACGAGACACTTGTTATGTTTCGATAAGCAGGAAAACAGGTCGCTATTGCGAGCAGAGACGGTCCACACACATATGTGCATGTTCTGACATGCTTAATCTTATCTCTACTTAGAGGAGGTATTGTGTGAACGTTATGTTACGTCTTCTCTGTCTGTGCGCATTATACACTACTGAAGAAAACAAAACATTCCCTCGATGACATGGCCCAACACTTTCATCATTGTGGCTGTAACTGTACTATGCGTCAGCGTCAGAGTCGCGAACGCGAATTATTTCCGCCCGCTCGCGATCGAGGGAAAACGTTGTTGACTAGTACTTGTAGTGCAAAACTATATTTCTGTATGGAGCACGTACACAGCACTTTCTCGTGAAGATCGGGGTTCGAATAGGTCTTCAGCAACCTACATGTAAGCTTGCGTTAGCGGCGACTATGTTTGTCGTAAGAGGCGACTAACAGGATTGTGTGGTCAGGTTCGCTGACATGATGCATCTCATTGTGTCCCAATTGAGTAGACGTTTTATTCTATCCAGACGTGATTGAAGTTAACAGAGTCGCATATTTCATGGCTTTATCACGGAGACCTTTTCATAAGTTACGTTAATTATACTGAAATAAGCATGGTTCATGTATGCTATGACATTGTAACAAAGAGATATTTTTTCATACAGAAATCTTCGCCTACACTATGCAGATAAGTATGGCATAAACATATTCACATAGGAATAATGAAATGTATTTACAAGCTGAGCCATTATGATCACATAATGTTCAGAATCACCCATCTCCCGTTTCAAATTGATAGTGAGTGACATGTCGTTGCCTGCTCAGGTGTAGTATACACAAGTACCATTGAAATTACATGATTTGTAAAATAATCTGTACAAGCTTGCCTTTGACGATCGGTTAACATCTGAATGGCATGCTCCTGATCTGGAGATGCGTGTGCATGTAGCCGACCACTCAAAAGATGTGAACACTTGTTGTTCGTGCACTTAATTCTAGTGGATTTGATGCTGTTGTTTGTAGACCAGTATTTGTTTCGGCAAATGATATGAATAGATCCCAACTAATACTGGCCAGTACATCTCGTAACGCATTACAGTTTTGCTTCATGCTGAATGGATATGTCAAGCCAAGAAGTATTACATTTTTTATTGTTGAATCAACAGTATTTAAAAACGTGACGTCATTTCAATGCTTTGACGTGGAAATTAAGTTGACAGCGCCTGATTTTATTGAAGACACAGCAAAAACATATATTGAATATTGCGTTAATATCTCCATGTGCGACCGAGAATCCCATGTTCTTCAAGATTTTCTTACACGATATATAACGAATGGCACATATGTGTCCCTTGTGTATTAATGTTAAACGTTTTACAGAAATCTTTCGCGACAGATTATCCACAAATGGGTTAGTTTCAAATTCTCTTCAAACCTTCTGATTATTTCTTTCTGACTATATATGATGCCACAATTAAATTCGTTTTGTCTTTGAAAGAATGAGCGAATTTTGTCTTCAAGTGCGATCGAGAATCCCATACACGTCAACGAATAACGTATATATGATCCCTTGAGCTTTCTACATGAATGTTTCAATTGTGTCACAGTAGCCATAAATTATTGACGCCAGATGGCTAGTTCCATGTTCATTTGGACATTTCTGATTAATTATATCTGACTTTTTAGGAAGCCACACATTTTGTCTTGGAAATATGAGCGACTTGATATGACTTATTAACCTGATGCAATCTGATTCTTGATAGTTTCTCTTTTCTTATCAAATCGAATAACTAGGGGAGAGAACAAGAGAACAATAGCTCCTATATATACACATGTTCCAGTGTAGTTGAAGCAGGCATCGTACGAACCAGTTGCATCTCGCAAAATACCTACAGCAAAAGAAATCCTTGATTAGACAGAAAGTTAATTATCTCTCTGTATGAGCATAAAGCAAGAATATTTACCCACTAACACACATTCATATCAGAGAGAGAGAGAGAGAGAGAGAGAGAGAGAGAAATGGAGAGATAAAGAAAAATGACGAAACTAGAGATAGAGGACGGCTACGAAGTGTACATAATTCATTTTTGAAAGTATAAAATCAGTGGAGCAAGTATAATTTTCTATTCTGTTGACAAATGAAGTTCTAGTGTTATTGTGATCAACTTACCTATAATCGGGTGTGTGATGAATGCAGATATACCATGGAACAGGGACATAAATCCAAGAGTCTTCCCCATATCTTCCAAACCCATGAACTCCACGACAGCTACCGGTATCAAGCAAAGATGAAAACTTCCAAATAGTCCTGAGATCACTGTAAATAGTAAAAGGTGTAGGAAGGTGTGGTAGAACCACGTAAACTGGTTCACAGTCCCAGTGATTAACAAGCCAATTGCCATTAGGTGGTAAACTTTCACATATTTCCGATCAACCACGGCCCCAAGACACAATCTACTCAGGAAATCCACCGCGTTGAAAATCGTAAGCAGCATTGCAGTGTCTGTTTTGGATATTCCTTTTTCCATAGCTAGAGAAGGCAAATAAGCTCCATTAAGGACAACAAGTATGGCCCATGGCCCAAAACACACAATAAATTGAAACAACGGTTTCTTAAATAGCGTGAAGTCAAGATTGAGTCGTTTAGTTAGACGGATACAGATTTGTTCCTTGGCTGCTGGTTCCTTTTCTTTCTCATCTCCCTGTGATTCCCTTTTCTTCTTGGTTGTTCGGAAGGACTCCAATGGTCTGAGGAGCAAGGCTCCAATCCACATGTTCATGCTGATCCCAGTGAGAATAAGCATGGTTCCTCTGAGGGCGTATGTATCCACGAGGAATCGAATAAGGGGAGGGAAGACCATTCCTCCAAGGCTGACTCCAGATACTGACATAGTTGTTGCCCAACCACGTCTCTTCCTGAAGTAATGCCCCAGTATCACCAGGCACGGGGAGTGTATCAGTGCAGTGCTCACACCTTCAACATAAAGGATAGTGTTTTCCTGTATTTGACCATAGCATCATACTGCAATTACCACCCCTTCTCCAGAATAACAAATAGGCCCACGTACACCATGCTACGACCAGGGGCACAACATTCAAGACCTTAATAAAGTTTTCAATCACGTTTATGGTGGGCATGTGGGGAAATCTTAAAAAATGCTGTCCAGTGCTATTGTACCATATATTCCCGACGTTGATTGTGGGCACATTTGTAGAAAAGTATGAACGATGTAATGTATTTACCATTTGTTCCGGTGAATACTTCACTTGCCTTTGCATGTGTCTGTGAATGGTGTCATAGTTGTTGAATATGCTCACCATTACGCGAACACCTGGTACCATCACCTTTTGACAGTGATTCATAATCACATGCTTAACATATAGCCAGAATCGTAAATAGTAAATGTGAGTAAATATTTCGTTTGCTTAAGGAAATCGTTTTATCGCTTTTCTTTAAATATTTAGGACAGTTATTTATATCATGAACAGCTTTTGACAATTTTTAGTGAAATTATATATAATAAATTATGTTCTTGTAATTATAATGCTGATACCTTTACTGAGGAAAATAAGGTATATAATTCACTCACTTCATCCAAATACTTGGGTATTTCCTGGTCGGCGAATCACAGAATGTTAATACGTTAAAAATTCAGGAAATATAAAAAAAACATTATCAATATACGAAGCACGTGGATGTTTATTGTATGTAGTGGATTAGGCATTATACATAAAATGTGAACATTTCAGATGTCATGCATATACCCTGATATTACGCATACTCCCATCTCATATAATACTAAGGGCCCAGTGAAGACCCGAAGTCCCCACATTTATACATATATATATATATAGATATGTGTGCATGTATATATATATATATATATATATATGTATATATATATATATATATATATATATATATATATATATATTCACACAATTTTACAGGACACCTGTAAAATATAACTGTTACATGTGCTTACCCATCAGAATACTGTGAGTGCAGATAAGATAGGTAATACTTGTAGCAAATATAGCTGTGGTCATTCCAATAACATTCAGTGTTACCCCCAGGAGCACCGTCTTCCTGATGCCAAGTACTCCCACAAGGATGTGCATTGTAAACACAGCTGAAACGGAGGTATAATTATAATTATGACGATGATATATGACCATACATGTATGTCCAATTGCTACGATGATATATAATTGCTATATAATTAATGTCTATAATTGCTTGGTTGGCTTGGTGTCAAATAGAAACGAAACAAACCACTGAAATATGCTTCTGCTCATTCACCGAGTACATCAGCGAATAACTTTTACAATGTAGCGTCATCAGAATTTGACGTCGTATTCACGGCAAATTACACTATGTATGTAGATATAAGAAGCAACATCATATCACTGTTATTTACCAGAGTTCAGTATTCGTCGAAGTGTGTTTCTGAACAGTGTCTCATTCTTTTTACGAATTGATTTCTCATCTGTAAATAGTTTAAGGGCAAAAGATATAAAGTTTCCCTTTCCATACCGATCCTTGTATACTCATATCCATGCCTGTTTTTCATGTACAGTCAAACGTTATGTTCATTCCATCCTGCTTCGCCAATATGATTGGCACCATATCTGGAACATGCTATGACGTAACATGTCTGTCTGCTGCGGCATGTCGTATTACCTTTACTGTTAAAAACGTTTTCCATTTGGACTGACAATTTATAGCTTTTACTTTATTTAGGGATTTTTAGTATTTTGTATTACCCTCACATCTTAAAGCACAAATGATTGTTTGTCCGTTTTCATGATGAATTGTATTGATGGGTACAGTGCATTTAGGATTTCATGAAACGTATGTAGCATTTTTCATGAGCTTCGTTGCATAAAATCGCCAAAGGTATGTTGCAATCAGGAATAAACTGTTTTTTCTGTGTAACCGATAACAAGGGTGGTATATGTGAAAGCCATATTTATGTCCATGGTTGTGTCTCATATTTGTTGAAAGAATCCGTCGCTGAATACACATCAATATGTATTGTTCAACAAGGCCAATTACACTGATTTCAAGATGCATTCTTCTGAGAAACCGTGGTCATTCTCGCCTGGTTATTTTAGTTTCATGTATGGGATAGCATCTTGTCCCAAATCATGAGAACTTTTAGTGTATTAATATGTAACGTTAAAGGAGAGATGAAATGGGGTTTAATGTTGCTTAAACGATTATTGCACTTGTATAGCGACGTGCATGCACGTGTGTGAGTAGCTGTTTGTACCGGACTAATGACGATTTTAAAGTGCCAGCCCACTTGGATACCATGCCGCAGATTAACATGAATACCTATTCAAATTTAATATGCTGAATGCGAGCCGACTAATCCTTGTTTTAACCCTTAATGCCGAGCGTCAGGCAGGGTAGCAACAAGTACCATCGTTTAACGTCTTTTGTCATGATACGGCCTGGTATCGAACCCATGACATTACGCTCTCTGGGGATACTGAGGCTTTAGGGTGGGCTATTGAGTCCCTTGACAACGGCTTGTATAACTCGTTTAACTCTTCTATCTTGACACATTCCGCATTTTTGTTGTTTACAGCCTTCTCAATTTCCTTGCTGTTTGTGAATCTTTGAAAATCTATAAACATTTGTGGCCTGTGGTTCATAAGTTGTTTCGCCTATTTACCTGATACGTTGTTGTGATGAGTACTGTTTAACATGTGAGTGTAGTCTCTTCCTTGCTGACTTTTGGAAGTTTTCGTTTCTGAGTTGAATTCTGTATTTTGCAGTAAGTCATTAATGTCATTTTTATTACTCGTCCATTGAGGATACCACAAGCTGGAATTACACAGTGCTTAATACCAGACACGTGTTTAAATGTTGTGGGTACTACATGTATACGTAGTTTCACCAGCAACTATTGAAAACATCCCTGGGCGAATTCAATGACACTACATATGGAGATGATAGATCACTGAGAGGAAGTGATGCACAATCGATGACCCCAGCCACCCTGTTGCTTGGCTCCCGTCACAGGGCATTGTTTCACAAATTTCGCACCCGTGCATGATATCAATTTTATCACACGTCAGATACCTGAACCAGTCACTCGTTTCATAAAATTTGCATTACATGGGAGCTTGTTCAATATTCTATATGTTTCATGAAACTGGCATTACACGGGAGCTTGTTCAGTATTCTTTTTGTTTCATGAAACTGACATTACACGCGAGCTTGTTCAGTATTCTTTTTGTTTCATGAAACTGGCATTACACGGGAGCTTGTTCAATATTCTATATGTTTCATGAAACTGGGATTACACAGGAGCTTGTTCAGTATTCTATATGTTTCATGAAACTGGCACTACACGGGAGCTTGTTCAGTATTCTGTATATTCATTATATGCTGAGCTCATTATGGTCACTGTTCCACCTTCATCTGCTTCCTTGGAACACTTAATTTATCATCAATTGGGGTCTTATGTGTAGAACCTTCACCTTGTGATACATTACATATATTTTCCTTGTCCAGAGAGGAATAATGTCCACCGTAACAAAATAATCATCTTCACATATTGTCGCTGTTTCTTTTTCGAGTAAATAATATGAGGGTTTTTTATTTGCTTACTTAAGAAGGGTTCGATTTATCATAGCTAAAGCAGAAGTATTTGTATCACTACAATCTTCCTTTTTTAAATATTCCAGCTTAACTGTTTTATATCCATTATATATACACATATTTGCGAGGAGGTTTCAATGTTAATGTGTAAATGTTAAACCCCTCTTCAAAAGTCGTATTTCATTTTCAGACAGAGGTACTGACGATGGCTTTTGTATTTTAAATTGAATTGAAAATGGTTGGACACAGATTGTACCTTGGACCAACAGTCGGTCACTCACCGTCGGTGTTCCTGCTCAGCAATCAACACCGTTAGTTTTCCTCAATGTACATGGATAATCAGCTGAGTTTACATTCTGTCCTTACTCTTCTAAGGTCAGAATAACGTTGATGAACATTCGACTTTTACTCTAGGGATCATAACGGAATATCTTTGTCCGCATTCCGGATCGTGTGTGCCTCCAATGTATGGTTTTAGCAAATGGTCCAGCAATTGTGAGGCAGGTGACACCAGAAAAGAGTTCCAAACAGTGTACCGATGTGAGGAATCGAACCCAGGCCTTTGCCATTATGACCGATCGCTTAACCACCATGCTATCATTTGATAAGGAGAAGGTATAGAATTATTAGATATCATACTTACACGCAATGCTGTATGTTCCTGTTATAACCCCGAAGAAGAGTGTGGCCTTTGATGCAGGTGCGTCAAATACTTGGACATATTCAACAAACAAAATTGCCATGCCTTTCTCGTAGCCAGTCATTAGAAACACGATGAGGAAGCAACCTAGTCAGGGAAGATGCGATATAGCTTTCACTGTTCATAATCTATATATATGATGACAAAGTTCAATCAAAAACTACTTTTAAACTAGTTCTCTCTCTCTCTCTCTCTCTCTCTCTCTCTCTCTCTCTCTCTCTCTCTGTCTCTCTCTCTCTCTCTCTCTCTCTGTGTGTGTATCTCATAAATGTATTAATGTAGTTGTAGAAGCAGCAGTTAATACTGTAGTAGTAGTAGTAGTAGTAGTAGTAGTAGTAGTAGGAGTAGGAGTCTAACGATTAAGCGTCAAGATTCATATCTTACCCATGAGTACAACCCAGGCCCATCCACGGTCAATTGGCAAATTATTGTCTTCTTCTTCCTCTTTGCTTTCACATAGCTCATTATTTATGTTTGTAGTTATCAATTTCATATTTTCAATGTTATCGCTATCATCATCAGCAGCAGCTTCAGCAGCACCACCATTGTCCTCCATCGCCTCTGTTTCCTTGTGTTTACTTCCACGCTCCGCTTGTGTGTTGCCTCTGTAGCAGCTGACGACAGAGGTGGGGCTCCCATTATCACAATCCAGATCCACTGACTGCATTTCCAAACCATCGGTTTTGGTATAACTGTCCTCGCTTCGTGAAAGATCCGACTGAGGTTCGTTTCCATCATGTCTGTCAGTGTGTTCCCCGGTATTGTTTAGGTTGTTAATTTCCATTATGTGAACAATCTTTTATCTTCTTGCGAGAGCGTAGAGACAACTGAAGTAGACACATCAGATAGTATAAATATATCGACTAAATGTTATAAACATGTGAATGAAGTTAAAATGTACAATCACACTTACAAAAAAATATTATGTTTTCATAACATAAAGTTGTTCAATATTTTTAATAAGTTAAGGATATTAATTATTCTTAAATTTGAAATATGTGACCATGGTGAATGAATCCCTTATATTCCCCTAATGTAAATTGTTAATTTGCTTGGGTAGTTAACATGTGTGCTATGTGTAAAACTACCCCTCTGTTTTGCATTTGGACAGTTCTAACACCTTTATCTTGTAATCAGCCGAAACATTTATATTTTCTTATTACATAACAGTCGATATCCTAAACATGAATACATTATGAACCCGTGAAGATTCCGGGGAAGAATAGGGCTTCAGCAACCCATACATGCCATAAAAGGCGCCTATGCTTGTCGTGAAAGGCGACTAACGGGATCGGGTGGTCAGGCTCGTTGACTTGGTTGATACATGCCATGGATCCCAATTGCGTGAATCTTTGCTCATGATGTCAGTCACTGGATTTTCTGGTCCAGACTCGATTATTTTACAGACCGCCGTCATATAGCAGGAATATTGCTGAGTGTGGCGTTAAACAACAAACAAACAATATGAATAAAGAAATTCAGACTTGCGTGTGGAATTTACAGTTACTTCAAGGGTGAGTGAGTTTGTACTTTTGTAAACATCACATCAGATCACACGTTATACCTCATGGAAAGCCATATTGGTGATGTGCGCCTTCTTTATCCTAACATGGTAAATATACAATGCAGAAACATATGACAGCTTTTCTCAACTATAATGACTTAACACAGCGAATCTATAAACAGACTAAATGCTTCTAGGATTACGATATTCTTCTCTAATATATGTGTGATTCAATGCATAGACATTATCTTGTCCACCCATGAGGCTTAAGTAAGATGATGGTTGACTAAGTTAACTGGTTTTCAATTTACTTCAGGAGTGGTTCAGTCAGTCACTGTTATAAATGCCTGATCAGTCACCACGGCCTGTCAATAACAGCCCCTCCTATCTATTTGAATAAGCGTCAAATGGTTTAAAAATAAATGCGTATTGGTAGCATAGCCTATTGGAACCGAATGCATTTATAATGCGAAGGAAAAGCATAACAATCGAATTTGACAGCGGTCGTTTGTGGAATACATGCACAGACACTATGGGAAATTTCGAATAACTTCGTCTGTATCCGTCAAAAACCCGATCTCACTGACATTGACTGACAGATTCGTTTAAACTACATGTTATGTCAACAATTATTGGGCAAATGCTAGATTCAGCTCTAAGACGTAAACAGTGAATGAAATTATGGGTGAAGTAATGTATCCAGATCTACGACTGATAAGCTTTCCATTCGACTCCCATCAAAATACATCGATAATGCATACAAAATACATTTCTGCTAAAAATTAATGATCCCGTTTCGAAGAGGAATTATGATTTACCTTCAATGCGCACTAATTTCCTGATAAGAGCTATTTTTCTCTGGAAACAAGCGTTGGTGAGAACATGTCCCCGTTTCTCTTCTCCGCTACTAACAGCCATTTTTTCGCGCGCTGTGGCGACAGTAAGTGTTGTAGTTCGTCGAAATGCGGCATTTAACGGACATGAATGAATGTGTTCTTTTGAGGATGCTGTCGGTTCCAATTGCAGCTGTGTGGTGATTCTAATGATAACTTCTGTTACGACGATAGTTATTGCATTTATATCGCCTTTGAAACTATTCCTTTGCACTTGGTAGATTTACACACGATATTGCTTACATTAATTCCGATAATGCTTCTTTTCATTCATATAGATAGGAGAGCCTGAGTAATAGTGTTCTGAAGCTTGAGCAACGATCCACAGCATCAAGGTAACACGACACCTGCTCAGCTGAGGTACCGAGTCTGACCACAGGATGCCTAATTAAGTTGGACACCAAATATTGCAAAGCAGTCTCCTACACAAGCTTAAGAGCTCAGCGAACTAAAAAATGTATACGTAACAATGTAATCACCCGATCATCATTTGTCTGTATATGTACAGGGACTTGAGTCCAAGTGCTTTCTGACAATATAACCGTCCCATCTTAATCAGTAAATGCTTTTTAGTTCGAATGGCCCATGTTGTTCTCAATGTCGGTGTCATAACATAAATAACATAAACCAGTTGTAAATAACAACATTTTGAGCATTGTATTTCATATGAGGTAATGTTCGAGATGTTCCAAGACAATAGTACAAAGGTTAAAATACGAGAAAATTATTGGCTTTCGAGACTCTTTTCTTTCCATGATAACTATGGAAAGTTGAAATGTCAAACGAAACAGGACTGCTTTGGAAATGGAGATTAGATTATACTGCCGTCACATAGCAGGACTATTGCTGAGCGGGACGTTAAACAACAACAAACAAACAAACCGAGGAGAAGATTTAAGCGTTATGTCGAAACTTTGTATATTTATTTTACTATACATCGCAGTGACACTTACCGATCTCCAGTCCAGGTATGACGACTTTACCTTGCTCCTTCACCAGATTTACCAGTCAGACGTCAATAGCAGAATGTCTCGTATACTTACGACGGTGAACTTGTTGCTGATGGAACTATAACCAAACCGCCCATGCTATTAGATACTTTTCTGTTCTACTACATCATATTATACTGGAGAAGCAGGGCATATCTTTCCAGAGTATAGGGTTTACTATGAATGGTCGTGTACAGCTTACACCTTTGAGGTTATATATGGTTCAAGGTTGACCTGTGCATTAGACATGCATGATGACACAGTCATTTCATTTGGACCAGCATAGAGCCTATAAATGGAATCTAATCATAGCATTGTATTTAAAAGATAATGAAAATGGGGTTTAATTGACTTAAAATATAGTTAGCTAGGATTACAATTTGGCCCCAGCCAACTTACCCTGCAAATGTATTTATGATTTAGGCAAGGCCAACTGTATTGCACCATTGTACTGTGCTCTACTAGTTTACATTTGTTCAATAAAAATAATGTCAAGTAACGTCACCAAAAGTACAACATCATAGCTTTCAGCAAATAATTCATGGCATTTCCATTAGAAGAATGAGAATATCGTGTCCTGAGCCAGAGGAGGAAATAAGCTTGGGTTACTAATATTTCGTACATGTGTACTGTGTGTCACCTACATGGCCGCATCTGCTGTAACTGTTAATGTCATGGTCATGTCCGAGCATGGTTGTGAAGCATATCGCGGACAGACTCATGGTTATATTTGGAGCGAATCCTGCAATCAATTCAACGACCACCGGATCCTAACTCAACTCAGAGATTTATCTTATACAAAATTTACTTCCAGCTGAAAGAAGAATAATTAATGACGTGTAGATAAAGTATTGCATCGTGAACTCATCACTGAAGGGGGGAATGGGGAGGTATGCTCCACTGTCTGGTACCCATGACACAGATCTTCTCATAGATTCAATGTGAAAAAATTGACATTATCTGTGCTTTGACGATCATCCTGAACTGCTAGATTGCCTAACTTTATTGATGTTACATTTTGAGTGAGTGAGTTATGTTTAGAGCCGCCTTGAGTAGCTTGACGTGGGAGAAAAGCCCGCAGTATTAAACATCTGTTTAATTGTGAACTCCCTCCAGCTGCTGCAAATATAAAGAATGACACCTTGAGCCAATGTGCCCACTTGTCAATTGTTTTCTATCTGGAAGTCCATTCCCCAAGGGAGTATATACATCAATATATAAAAAATAGACATGCAATTCATATATTTAAACTTTTATTGTTATTGCCTATTTCAATGGCTCCATACATTCATTATCCGTTGATGGTGATCCTTCCCGTGTTGTTGCCACATAACGCCGTACAAGCGGCTCAAAGAGTAACAGTGCTGCAGAAAAGACAGCGGCTGCACCAAGGTACTGGAAACAGGGAAGGTAGGATCCGCTCAAATCACGTAATGCACCTGTAAAATATTCATGTAAAGCTTAGAAAAGAAAATAATTGTCAGAACGTACATATATCCACATGTTGTAACATTCAGATGATGGTGTCTAAGAACTTATTTCAAATCACGAGGTTTATTTGGCTAATGTTTAACAGATATTGCAAACAATCTAATCTATCAGGTGAGTTGGGCTGAACGTCGCTTTGAACATCAATACAGGTATATCAGGATGTGTCAGTGTGATATGGGAGGAATCCCCAAAGTGACTTGACGGTTTCAAAATTATATAATAACAGGGCAGTATGTACGGCCTCTTACCTAAAATTGGATGTGTTAATGAAATTGCAATTCCTTGGAATAATGCTGCAAATCCAAGAGTCTTTGCCATATAGTCGACTCCCATGAAATCCACTATCACCAACGGCAAAAGGCACGGAAAGGCACTTCCAAATATGCCAATCACTACACAGTAAGCTAGAAGTAAAGGATATGTTGTGTAAAACATTATAAACTGAGATGCTAATCCTGAGATCACAAGACCAATGGCCATGATTTGACAGGCACGAAGATATCCAAGATCAGCTATAAATCCATAGAACAGTCGACTAAAGAAGTCAAGAATTCCGGAGATGAGCAACAGAAATGCTGCATCAGATTTGTTGTATCCCATTTCCTTCATCTGTGCCGGGAGGTATGTTGGAACGTGTCTCTGAACAACACCAAACTGACAACATGCCACAATAAGAAGGAACATCGGATTCTTGAACAATGAAAAGTCAAAGGCTTTAATAACCTTCCCAAAATTTCTTATGACGGCGGATTTTCTTTGATTACTGTCATCTACACGTATTTCCTTTTTAGCTGAATCACACAATTTAGGTATGAATATTGGGATGCTCACAAGGTCTGGGTTACTGATATATACCAGCTTCTCAGACTCTGAAACAAATTCCTTTGGGATCCTTTTAGAACCTTCAGAGTATGTCCTCTTCCTAAACGAATCTGCGTTTTGAGGATTGAGGAATCTATTGGCGGTGTCCTTTACAACAACGTTACAACTCCTAGTACTTCCATTGTGATTGATATATGTTTGCTTTGCTCCATGACCTGTCCCAATGACATCTTCTTCGCTAAAGACCTCGCTCGCTTCCACACCAACACTGCTGATACTATGTAGCTGATGTGCATCGCCCTGTTTCACTTTTCTTTTATAGAAGTGTAGAGGTCGATATAGATATGCCCCTACCCATATATTCATCATTAGGCCTGTGTAAATCAGCAATGTGCCTCGAATACCATATTTGTCAAGCAAATATTGAGAAAATACTGGGAATATACCGGATGCTAAACTCATCGCTGAACTTGCAATTGCTGTAGCTAGGCCTCGGCGTTTCTTGAAATACTTCCCAATCAGCACTATAGCGGGCGAATGTATCATGGAATCACCCATTCCTATAATAGGAGAATAGAAACAGTCATAATTGTGTATGGAGAAATGTGGCATGTTGATGACATCTCTTGATTGACAAGCTTGTAATGATATTGGAACATAAAGTGTAACCTAAGTATAGGACATATAATAAGAGGATGAGTGTTATGTTAGGATGAAATTACCATCATTGTCCAATTATATATTTGGCTTCAACCATTAGACCTTCGTCCAACGCTTTAAACATTACAGCACCATCTGGCAGCTTTTAGAGGACATGTCTTTGATAACATTGATCTGTAAGATATCAAATGAGCTTTCTCTTTTCATGCCGTTAATCTTTTCTTCTATTAAATGGTCTCAACACTGGCGTAAGGACATACCTGAAAGAACACTATGAACACATATGAGGACCATGATGTTGGGTGCAAAGGTTGCTGAGAGAATAGCTAACACTATGAGGAGCCCGCCCATCATGACTGTCTTCCTCGTCCCCAGAAACTCCAGCAGAACGTTCATAGTAACCAGTGCTAAAAGTATACATTCATAAGATGGGTTACCATGGTACATTATGTACATAAGATATGTATATTGGTATATTTACAGGTATGTTTTTCAGTGTTACATCTGTGTCTATTTGGGACCTAAATGATTGCTTCATTCTGTGTCAGAGTAAAACATTGTACGTTGGTTGTGTGGTGTTACATGTACATTTTTAGTATGTGTATATAGTGCATTGGATTCAAATATTGACTTAACTAGTTAATGCATATGGCCAAAAGGTTATGGTCATTCAAATATTATAACAAGGTCATTAAGTTTGCAGATAACTAAAGAACAAACAGGAACTCCGACACCATATATCTGCTCCCTCTTTAACCTACTTTTGAGAATGTGAGTATGAGTATGCATATGTGCTTTCCGTGTATTTGTTTGTGTATAGCAATATATACTATTTAAACTGTATAATTTAAACTGACGGGCAAAAGAAACGCCATCAAACAATTTTCTGGTCTAAAACAAAAACAGACGCACAATTAAGTAACAGTTGATGTTTTATTATAAAGAAAACAATTATTCAAAACGGTGTTTGAAAAAGACAAGATCAAAAACTATGTACTTAAAGTTCTGCAGGCACGCTTTTCATGCTGAGTGCACTGTCCAGTATTCGATCAGACCAGCAGAATCCAGGTCGATCTCTTTTAAAATCCTGTGCTACACACATGGCCCAGTATCAGATGTGCCCCCCTCCAGCAAACAATGCGTCGAACTGAGTATACGAGTCTCCCGACATCCTGATAAGGGATCATACGCCATTCTTCCTGAAGGGCAATTGCCAAGGCATCCCTCGTCAATAGCGGCTGTTGACGTTTCTGAATTCTGCGTCCAAGTTGGTCCCAGAGGTCCTCTATGGGCGACAGGTCCGGTGATCTGGTTGGCCACTGTAATACGGTCACGTTGTTGGCGTTCAGAAAGTCGCAAGTGACTCGATCTGCGTGAGGGGTTGATTTGTCCTGCTGGGTGTCGTTGCAGGAAAGGCAGTACCATAGGTCGCAAAACATCATCAATGCATGTAGATTTCCGTCTATGATGACCAGATCTGTGTTCTGGTCCCCGCAGATGCCACCCCAGACCACGACACTACCACCTCCATAAGGCTTAACCTCTTGGACGCAACAACGTGACGTCCGTTCACCACGCCGTCGGTAGATTCGAACCCGCCGATCAGACCTGAAGAGCTGGCACCTACTCTCGTCGCTGAAGAGCAATCTTCGACAACTTCTCTGCTTCCACTGCTGTGCAGTCCTGGGCCATCTCCGTCTGTGACTTCGGTGTAGCAACGTTCATGTCATGCCCTTGAAAGGTCGATAGGCACGGAGACCATAGAGGCGGAGTCGTCTAGCAACGGTCCTTCTGCTGACTGGATGTCCAAGGCTGTTTGCGGATGATGACGTCACTGTTACGTATCTGGACCGTAGGTGAGGTACCCGTAAATACCAGTCTTCCTGTGGGGTCGTGACCTTGGGTCTTCCATTCCTTGGCCTGTCTGCAGTACTGCCAGTTTGCCTGTGACGTGAGAAGTCTGGCGATGGTGCACTTGAAGCAGCCTATGATCATTGCAACGTGCTCCTGCGTCGCTTCCATTTGCAATAACCGATGGCTCTCTCCCTCTGCTCTGCGGTTAGTCGAGGCATGTTCGTTGTTTTAAACGGTTTCATGTGATGAGAGTGCACAATCCTGTTCATGTTTTATACCAGAATTTCATACGGGTAACGTTGTGCACATTTTGCATTTTTTAGTGATTAAATTCACTTTTCTCGCAAATCATGTGACGGTAGAGCACATGCTGACAGGGAATAGGTAAGTTGCATTCTAGCTATGTGTTCCCAACTGTTTTCGTGCTGTTTGGCACATTTGTTGAAAACTGACGACCATTATTTATTTGGACGCCTTTCTTTTGCCCCTCAGTTTATTATGTATGTATGCTGATGCAAAAAGGGCGGTCGGGTAGCCTAGTGGTTAAAGCATTCACTCGTCACGCCGAAGACCCGGGTTCGATTCCCGACATGGGGACAATGTGTGAAGCCCATTTCTGGTGTCCCCCGCCGTGATATTGCTGGAATATTGCTAAAAGCGGCGTAAAACCATATTCACTCACTCACTCACTGATGCAAAATAAACATTAAAATGAACGTTATCCTTAAATGTATTTGTTTAACACATGGGTTCTATTTGCTGTCTGCGATGTTGTCACTGTGATGTCGTGAATGAATAGATGTATCAACATATATGCGTGTACTTGTATGCGTATTATGACGTACATGTTTTTGGGGGTTGCTTCTGATTCTGATTTCTGACCCAAATACACTACAAACTGTGTTTTAACTTTACACTACTCTAGTTAGAACTGCAACTAGGGCCGGACGGAAATCATAATTAAAACATGACATTAGAACAACGTTAAGCAATGTGGCAATGTAATTTGTACACAAGTTCATTGGCACCATACATAGATCCAGAAGCAGGATGCAGGTATGCATCCCTCTCCCTCTTTTTATGAAGCATACATTCATTTATACATTGTGTAGTTGATCTAGATCTGGTATCCTAAAAATAAAGATATAACACAATGACTGACACAATTGCTGAAAAATGTATTATGCGGTTACTGAATGAGAAATTGCCAAACCACAACCCCTCCTTTACCAAATATAATTGTATCTGTGCATGGGTATAAGTCTTCTGGTCAACTAGTACAAAGAGATATATGTGCCTAGGTCAATCTGAAAACTTAAGCATACTTAATTACTCTTTTACATACACTGAAAGGCAAAAGAAACGTCACTTCTGAAAATACTGATAAAAATTAACAGACACTGACAGTTACATGTTCTGTGGTCAATAAACTCATGTATCGTTCTTCTGCTTCTTTTATTGCCTTAAAGTCCATTCAACAATTTAGTTTAAAGTGGAGTGCTTTGCCCAAACGCAGCCTACAAAAGTGCAATGGGACTCAGTTGCGGAAAAGTCTTGTCAAAAACATGATGCCGGTGCACATCGTCGATGGTATGGGTATAAAAGACACCCAAAACTGTTAAGCTGGCTTTCGTTATCGTGCCATCAGTGATCGTACAGTCCGACGTCGCCTAACTGCCAACAACATCTCGTGCCACCGTCCTGCTCGTGTACCCATCCTGAGAGATCGTCACCGACAGGCCCGACTGCAATGGGCCAGGCAGCATCAAAATTGGAGAAGAATCATCTTCACTGATGAAAGTCGCTACTGTGTTTCAACGGTGGATGGCCGAGTCAGGGTCTGGCTATGGAGGGGCGAACGTTATGCTGATGCTTGTGTTATGGAACGAGACCCATGGGGCAGCCCAAGCATCATGGTTTGGAGTGGAATCGGACTGAACTAGAGAGTGGGACCTGTGGTCTTTCAGAATATTGGTCCAGGGGTAATGGCAGCACAGCTCTCCGCTACATTGACCAAGTCCTCAGACCCCATATCGTGCCTTTTTTTGCCCGTCATCAAAACCACACCTTTCAGCAAAACAACGCCCGTCCCCACACTGCCAGTGTCACCAGGGACTTCCACCAGCAGCACAACATCCAAATCATGCCTTGGCCTGACCTCAGTCCGGATTTGAATCACACTGAACACTTGTGGGATGAAATCCAACGCCGACTCAACGACGTACGCCCAAGGCCGCCAACGGCAGCAGAACTGCGTGTAGCGTTCCTGACGACATGGGCCCATATCCCAATGGCCTTCGTCAACTGGCTAGTCCACTCCTTGTACAGGAGACGTGTGGCTGTAGTCAACGCCCGTACACCAGGAACTGTTTTGAACCCCCTAGCTGTGATGTCTTCTGGTGCCTCCCCAAATTCACAATTCGCAAAAACATTCACCAGTCAAATACTGACTTTCTCCGATGTCTTTACTTACATATATAAGCATTTGAAAATAAAGATATTTATATGATACATCCACATGACGTTTCTTTTGCCTTTCAGTGTATATCACGAAGGTAATGACTCATTTCAGATACAAATACAATCATCTTCGACCAAGCTTACTCAAGACAGGGCATGCCAGAAACCTATGATTGTGGGCTCGAATCCTGGTTCGCCCCGATTATGTTTCTAGGTTTGTCAGCATCATACCCGTGCTCGTGGGTTTCACCGAAGTGGTAAACGTCTAAGACCTGCATCACTTCGGACTTTCCTCCCACATTAAGCTGACACGCCGCGATATAACTGGAATACTGTTAAAAGCGGCGTTAAACCCAACTCACTCACTCACTCACTTACTCAAGACATGTCATTAAGGGCACGCAGTATGAAGTGATTTAGTTTTGCTGTTCACAACATGGGTGAGAACTCTCGTCTAAACACAATCAGAAACATAATTTCACAATGTAAAAGGTAAAACATATACCCTAAAGTAGATACGTTTTAATTCAGTATGGATAATGATATGCTGTAATTAGTCTGCTTACACATTAGGCTGTAGGTCATAGCCTTTACCCCAAGGATGAGTGTTGTCTTCGTTGTAGATGCACCAAACATCTCCAGGTATTCCACGAAGAATAGCGCCAGAGATCGGTCGTATCCACCCACGAGCATAGCATTCAGAAAACATCCTGCAATGAATATATTTGTTTAATTTAGATTTTTAAATAGATTTTTGTTTTCTGGGAGGACAGTGCATATCGTTTAAAAGACTCGACTGTCGAAAAGAATATTACATTTAAAAACGCATTCAATGTTTCCATTATGTTGTTCCGGTGAAACGAAATATTATATTCTTGATCATCCATATGGCTAGGATTTTCCTGTGAACAATTTATTTTTTTCCAAATGGACGTTACCACATATGAGAAAGTGTTCACGTTTGAAGATCTCGTGGTATTTTCTATACGAAATAAATTATGCAAATTAGTTTGTAAATGTGTCAGTAAATAGACACAAACTTGCGTATTAATGTATTTCTCGCAACACGTAGTTTTATAATCCTTGTTATCAACCGATGAACTTCAAAAGCACATAACATATCTGTAAATTATATCATTTCACATACAGGAAGATAACTCCATGTTACAATTACTACATCATCCGTAACATTAATGTGTGCATATGTTACTATTACCAATATAATATACCTAGAAAAATCGTTCAACACTTAATGTTCTATAGCCTTTATAGGAAATATCCGGCGACTTTAGCCTCATTTTGGTAAACATAATTTAGAGAGTAACACACCATGTCATCTTTAAATTATCTATTTCAGTTTCTGCTTTTCAATATGAGTATCGTTATCTTGTGAAGGAAAATGTGTTCCTCTGAAAATGAATACAAGGAACGATTTTTTAAATGGCTACTTTATGCAGAAACATATATGTTTGAAGTGTTACACTAGTAGTCGTTACATACGTATGTACGTATATCCCAGTTTAACCCAAGCCCACCCTTAGTCAATAGGTTGTCCTTCCTTTCTATCCCCTGGGTTTTTGTCTTCTGTATTTAAAACGTCCTTATCATCCCCTTTACCATTACTCATTGCCATGATTGCAAAGAGACTGAATGTAACGTTGTATGTGTTACCTCACCGTCGACAAAGCAGACATTCACTGCAGTCCCTGTCATTGACTTATTAAGGTCAAAGGCAGCCATGTGACCTGCGACTCTTATCTGGCTACGTGCTGATGTTATGTCCTGTCTTATGTCGTTACGTCTATGTGCTTCTTGTAAGGCCCTTTTACGACGACAAATTAACTTTGTTTTACAACATCCCAAGTAATTTTAACAAACATCTAGATTTTACCATGGACTCAAGTTACCCTGTAATTCAATTCTTTTTGGACACCATGGTAACACTATGTTGGCGGGATCTAGAAACGGATATAAATGATAAAACTACAGAGACAGATATGAATATATATATGACAGTGTAATGTATTGTTAAACAATGACTGCATCATTATTACGATGTTTCAGCAGAAGTTCATTGCATTGTATTTGGACAATGTTTAGTCGTCAAGAACGTAGTACTATTTAATATAAGCAGTTGTGAGGAACATATGTTATATTTGGGATAACACTTTCTCAGTAAAGTACAGATTTTCGTACTTTTGGGGTTGAGTCCCATGCCAGAGTGAGGCACCTAATCGCCAGCACACAAAGTCAGCGACCTAAACCACACAAATGAAAGTCCGACAACTGGTAGTCGAGTTTACTTACTTTGTGTACCCCTCTGACAAGTGTAAAGTGGCATGCCTCCCATCGCCGAAAGATATGAACACATGATGCCGTTTAGAAAGTGGTCAAATCTATCAGATGTTACATTTGGGACAACACTTTCTCAGTTAAGTACAGATTCTCGTATTGTTTGGGGTTGAGTCCCGTCCGGGACTCGAACCCGATCTGCTAGCACACAAAGTCAACGATCCTTGCATTTAGGACTGACTGACTGAGTTGAGTTTAACGCCGCTTTTAAACATTATTCCAGTTATATCACGGCGTGTCAGCTTAATGTGGGAGGAAAGCCCGAAGTGATGCAGGTCTCAGACGTTTACCACTTCGTCGAAACCAATGAGCACGGGTATGGTGCTGACAAACCTAGAAACATAATCGGGGCGAACCTGGATTCGAACCCACAATCATAGGTTTCTGGCGTGCCCAAGGGACGCAACTCTGCACTGCGAATCGCGGCGCCTTAGACGACTGGGCCACCCGTGCCCCCTTGCATTTAGGAAATAAGCTTGCTCACTCGTGAAACAAGTGTGCTTTTTTGTCTCCGAAGTAATTATACAAGCTATTCGTCATGCGAAAGGGAATGTTCATCCTTGTTTGGCGAGGATGAGGATGAGGGTGAGGTGAGAGAAACTGTAGGTACTGATCACGAGGGTTTGCATACTTGTAAAACATATCAGTCATTGTGCCATCTTGTATTACCCTCACATCTAAAAGTGCATATGCTTCTACCTTCGTTTCAATGGTGAATTCTATTGAGAAGTACTGTGAATTTAGGATTTCACGAAAATTATACAATATTTTTCATGAGCTTCTACTGCAAATAATCGTAAAAGGTATTTGTTGCTAGAATGCACTGATTTCAAAATGAATTCTTCTGAGAAACCCTGGTCATTGTCGCATGTTTTGTTCGCATCAAGTATGGGGTAGCATCTTGTTCTAAATCAAGAGGGCTATTAGGGTATAAATATGTAACATTAGAGATGAGGTGAAATGGGGTTCACCGTCACAGCCAATATTATTGCACTTGTATAACTGTGTCTGACTATTTGGAACGGACTAATGCCGATTTCATAGTGCAAGCCCACTGAGATACTATGCCGCAGCTTAACATGTGTACCCCATTCACATTTTAAATGCCGACGACGAGCCGACTAATCCTTGTTCTAACCCCTAACGCCGATCGCCAGGCAGGGTAGCAACAAATCTTTTGACGTCTTTTTGGTATGACGCAGCCTGGGATCGAACCCATGACCTTACGCTCTCTGGAGATACTGAGGCTTTAGAGTGGGCTATTGAGTCCCTGGACAACGGACTTGCATAACTCGTTTAACTCTTCTACCTTGACACATTCCGCATTTTTTTTTGTTTACAGCCTTCTCAATTTCCTTGCTGTTTGTGAATCTTTGAAAATCTATAAACATTTGAGGCCTGTGGTTCATAAGTTATTTCGCCTACTTCCCTGATACGTTGTTGCGAGCCGACTAGTCCTTGTTTTAACCCTTAATGCCGAGCGTCAGGCAGGGTAGCAACAAGTACCATCGTATAACGTCTTTTGTCATGATACGGCCTGGGATCGAACCCATGAACTTACGCTCTCCGGAGATACTGAGGCTGTAGGGTAGGCTATTGAGTCCCTTGACAACGGACTTGTATAACTCGTTTAACTCTTCTATCTTGACACATTCCGCATTTTTGTTGTTTACAGCCTTCTCAATTTCCTTGCTGTTTGTGAATCTTTGAAAATCTATAAACATGTGTGGCCTGTGGTTCATAAGTTATTTCGCCTACTTCCCTGATACGTTGTTGTGATGAGTACTGTTTAACATGTGAGTGTAGTCTGTTCATTGCTGACTTTTGAAAGTTTCCGTTTCTGAGTTGAATTCTGTATTTTGCAGGAAGTCAATAATGTCTTTTTATTACTCGTCGATTGCGGATACCACCGTTTAATCACAAGGTGGACTTACACAGTGCTTGATACCAAAGCACTTCCTTATATACTGCGGTAACTACATGTAGTTTCACTAACAAATATTAAAACTCTCAATACATCCTGGGTTTATCCAGGGACACTGCGTGTGGAGGTGATAGATCACTCAGAGGAGGTGATGTCACTCGATGACCCCCGATATCATTACAATCTTCCTTTTACTAAATATTCCAGCTGAACTGTTTTATATCCACTTTGAATTTTTTGCGAGAATGTATCAATGTGAAGGTGTAAATGATTACCCCCTCTTCAAAAGTCGCATTTCATCATCAGACAGGTACAGACGATATCTTTATTATTTTAGTTTGAAACAGAAAATGTGTGGAGACAGATTGTACCTTGGAACAACAGTCGGTCACTCACCGTCGGTGTACCTACTCAGTAATAACACCGTTCGTTTTCCTTACTTTGCATGTATAATCAGGTGGGTTAACATTATGCCCTTACTTTTCTAAGGTCAACATCAGAAAAATCGTGATGAACATTCGACTCATAACGGAATACTTGTGTCCATATTTCGGATCGCTTGTTCCTCCAAAGTATGGTTTTAGCAAATGTTCCAGTTATTGTGAGGCAGGTGACACAAGAGATGAGTTCCAAACAATGTACCGATGTGGGGAATCGAACCCAGGCCTTCAGCATTATGACCGATCGCTTAACCACTATGAAAACCTTTGCTTAGTAGAGGGTATGGAATTATTAGATATCATACTTACACGCAATGCTGTATGTTCCTGTTATAACCCCGAAGAGGAGTGTGGCCTTTGATCCAGGTGCGTAAACATACATGACTTGTCGACATGCTTTTTCTCTTAGCCGGAGATTAGGAACACATTATTCAGGAAGCATTCTCTCTCTCTCTCTCTCTCTCTCTCTCTCTCTCTCTCTCTCTCTCTCTCTCTCTCTCTCTCTCTCTCTCTCTCTCTCTCTCTCTCTCACTCACTCACTCTCTCTCTCTCTCTCTCTCTCTCTCTCTCTATGTATATATATTTCATGTATCTCATTAATGTGTTAATGTATTAATGAAGTAGTAGTAGTAGTAGTAGTGGTGGTAGTAGTAGTAGTAGTAGTAGTAGTAGTAGTATTAGTGGTAGTGGTAGTAGTAGTAGTAGTAGTAGTGGTAGTAGTAGTAGTAATAGTAGTAGGAGTGGTAGTAGTAGGAAGAGGAGTAGTAGTAGTAGTAGTAGTATAACGATTGCATGCATCAAGATTCATAATTGATATTTACCTATGAGTACAACCCAGGCCCATCCACGGTCAATTGGCAAAGCATCATCTTCTCCTTCCGCTATGTTTTCACATGGCTCATTAATTATGTTTGTAGTTATCAATTTCATATTTTCAATGTTATCGCCATCATCATCAGCACCATCAGCAGCAGCAGCAGCACCATTGTCCTCCAGCGCCTCTGTTTGCTTGTGTTTACGTCCACGCTCCGCTTGTGTGGTGCCTCTGTAGCAGCTGACGACAGAGGTGGGGCTCCCATTATCACAATCCAGATCCACTGACTGCATTTCCAAACCATCGGTTTTGGTATAACTGTCCTCGCTTCGTGAAAGATCTGACTGAGGTTCGTTTCCATCGTGTCTGTCAGTGTGTCCCTCAGTATTGTTTAGGTTGTTAATTTCCATTGTTTGAACAATTTGTTTTATCTTCTTGCGAGGGTGTAGAAACAACTGAAGTAGACACATCATAGTATAAATATATCGACTGAATGTTATAAACGTGTGGACGAAGTTATAATGTAGGGTGCCGAAAGGGGGTAATATCGCAACGTTCTTTGAGCTCTGACGTCACTACATTAAAACCTTCATGCGTCACGGCATGGCGGTCTGTGACTTAATGAATCGAATGTTAGAAATTTACAAGGAAATTTTAAAAAAAAATATCACACTAACAAAAAGATAATATGATTAAGTTCTCATGGTCGTTTGCGGAATACGTGCACAGCCGCTATGGGCAAACTCGGTCAAATTCAACGGAATAACTTCGTATGTATCAGTCAAAAGCCGATCTCACTGACATTGACTGACAGATTTCTTTAAAAGACAATTATAGGGCAAATGCTAGATACAGCTCTAGGACGTAAACAGTAATGTATCCAGCTCTACGACTGATAAACTTTCCATTCGACTCCAATCAAAATACATTGATAATACATACAAAATACATTTTGCTGAACAATAATAGGGGAATTTTGATTTACGTTCAATTTGCTCTTATATCCTGACTGAAACGACTTTTTCCGGAAACAAGCGTTGGTGAAAACACGTCCCCGTTTCTCTTCTCTGCTACTGTCCGCCATTCTTTCGTGCGCTGTGGCGACAGTAAATGTTGTATTCGTCGAAATGCGGCATTTAACGGACATGAATGAAAGTGTTCTTTTGTCGGAGCTGTCGGTTTCAATAGCGGCTGTGTGGTGATTCCAATGAGAACAACTGTTACAACGATAGTTATTTCATTTATATCGCATTTGAAACCATTCCGTCGCACCTGGTAGCTTTACTAACGATATTGCTTACATTAATCCCGATAATGCTTCTTTTCATTTTTATTGATAGGAGGGCCTGAATAGAAGTGTTCTGAAGCTTGAGCAACGATCCACAGCAACAGGGTAACACGACAGCTGCTCAGCTAATGTACACTACTGCCTAGAAGTTCATTCCCCTGACACGCATGGGCAACGCGTTACGCATCCCGTGTGCACCCCGTTGGTCACTCGTGTGGAACCCGTCCGCCACGCGTGTGATACCCGTGTGAAACGCGTTGAACACGGGTGTGTATCCCGTTCGCCACACTTGTGCAACGCGTGACACACTCCTTACACGGGGAACAAACTTTTGACCAAAGGGGGACCCGTGTTTAGCTGAACTTGGAGGTGGTAACAAGGAGATATTTTCTTAATGGGCATAAAGTTCACGGAGACGAAGGCTATAGATACAATACCATATTAGATTTTTTAGATGATATAACTTATTTGATAATAAATTCAGTTATTGATATCTAAAAACCGATTTTCAATTTTAATTAACATTTCGTAATACAATTCAAGTCAAATATGTGATATAAATTCATTCTTTGGTATCCATAAATGAATTATTGATATCATATAATCAATAAATAGTAATTATTTGATAATAAATTCAGTTACTGATATCTAAAAACCGATTTGCTAAATTTGTGATATAAATTCATTCTTTGGTATCCATAAATGCATTATTGATATCACATAATGAATAAATAGTAAAAAGGCAAATAGAGATAGTTATAACAAAAATATACGATATACAACGAATATTTGCACAACTATCACAAAACCATTCGACACTGACACCGCATCAACCCCCGCGATAAACTCGACACAGTTATGTGCGCACCGAGTACATAACCCCTACCGACAGGGTGGGGATGGTGGTTCAAAGCGAAACTTACAACCCTGTTTGTTGTCTAATAAATGCTGAGAGGCGCCTTTGATCTTGCCTCTAACCATGCATGTAGGAGTAAACGATGGCCTTGATGGTCTAGAAATAAACAAGATTCTTTCTTGTTGCATATCAAGGCACCAATTCATCGGTCACAGGGTTTTGTTATGTATGTGTGCCCAGTGTATCCACAATTAACTAGAAAGTTTCACATCTACAAAAATATATGTGCGTCACTGTGGTTTATCAACACATGCATAACGCTTATTCACGCTTGGTGTGGCAGACTGAAATAGAACATTATGATAGCGTCAGCAGGGATAATAGAGGTCATAAGACACAACTTTATTTGCTTTTCTGGCCATAGCCCTTGGCATATGAAGATCATACATACATGTTTAAGTTACTAGATTATTTACGGCAATACAGTTCAAATATTGTGTTCAATGAAAGAAAACGTTGATATATTTTAACAGACTTAATTTTGTAATTTTGTACAAACTGTGGACTTCAAAGAATTGTTCGCTCATTGTAATACCATCAAGGTAAAACATCATATCTATCTCTGAAATCCACGAGCATAGTTGCTGTCAAACAAGAACATAAAAAGGGCGGCCAGTTTTGACTTGTGTGCCTTAAAGTGAGTTTAAACATGTCAAAAGCGATTGACCCTACAATTTTTGGTCATTTATTACTCCAACGTTCTAACTGTCAATCGTCTAAACAGGACCATAACTTTTGTTATAGAAGAAGAGGAAGAAAATTATTTTATTTACGTGTCACACACTGTACAACAATGACAATAAAAATACACAAATAGTGTGTAGTGTCCGGCCATTATGGCCTACGGGACACGCAGGACGTCACATACATATGAGTAAAAATGAGAAATATCACAGTACATACATATACATAAAAATGAGTTATCACCAGTGCAAGGTCAAAAGTTGAAAGGAGAACATTCTGATACTAAGACATAAAATACATTGAACTAAGTTGGTAGAGACGAAAGACACAGTTGTCTTCGCTGATACATGTGATGAAGAAGCGCGGCTAGGGGTCTGACCACCCTATTGTTCCGCATAAAGAACACGGTCTGATCGGCAGCGGACATCTGTATAAAGTTTGGAGTTGATTGAGAAGCGAAATTCCATAAATCATAGCGTAAATCTGTATAGAGAGAACATTCGGCAAAAGAGTGCATTTCATCCTCAACAGCATTGCAATTACAGAATTTACACATACGTTCAATGAGCGGTGTTTTGGGGTGGGTGAATCTTCCCAATTCTATTTCTAATGGCAGTGAGCCGCAGCGAAACTTACTTAATATACTGCGCTGACATCTGTTCATCAATAAACTGACATAGGGTTCTACTGAATCGACTCCCTGTCTTTATGTCTTAAGTTGTTAAGCGGTAACTGCGGTCCAAATTTATTAACTTATTCATCTATTGTTGCAAACCCGACTGATTTGTTTACACAATACACATACCTTTGTCATGATCTGGCTGAGTGGCCTCCTTCCATCAATGTGAAAGGATTACCCACAGAGAAAGAAAGGATTAAAATCCTAAAGATGTCCTATCCACATGGTATAAGCACTCACGACCAATTTCCTCTAATAGTAGACTATCACCTTTGGTATCCCCAACAATACTCACCATGGTCATTGGGCAAATGTAAAAATCACAAACCCTAACGAGATTCTGTCTACATGGTCACACCCGGTGATCAACAGTGAGACATCATGTTCATATCCATTTCCAATAGCCTCTTAGAGTAGTTGATAAATGTTTACCGGGCGCAGCCCGCGCACTTCCATTCAGTCAATAAATGCGCTATAGTGCTACCGCTGTCTCGCTATACTGTTACCGTATCTCACGCTCCGGTGATTCTCGCTTCACGATCCAACACCCGTTTTCGGTCTTCGGGAAACTTGCACGTTTTTATGATCCACCACCCCTTTTCGGTCTTAGGGAAACTTACACGTCTTTACGATCCAACACCCCTTTTCGGTCTTAGGGAAACTTACACGTCTTTACGATCCAACACCCCTTTTCGGTCTTAGGGAAACTTACACGTCTTTACGACCCAACACCCTTTTCGGTCCTTAGGGTAGCTTGCTTCGGGCAAGGGTTAGCCATAATTTCTTACCTTTTCAAGCATTAATCCAGTTAATCCGATTGGTCGGTCATGTTGACATAAACACTGGCGGGTGTGGTTTCAAGAAAAGATTAATGGGAGAGCGGACAGTGACGTCACACGCATGCGCAATTCATTGTTTTCTGAAATTACGCATGCTTGTTTAATGGGGTGCTACTGACCCGTTAAACGAGCTCTTACATGTGATAGCGCTCGTGACCAGGTGGTAGAGAGTCGGCTAATTAACGCATTAATTAGTCAAGCCGGTGAAAGTGGGTTGTGGGAAAATGGGACATATTCCTACTGACAAAATGAGACATAAGTAGTGGTGACTGTTCTATCATAATTGTACTATCATTCTATCATAAAGCATAAATTTGGCGAACGAAAAAAGTTATATTTGCAGTCACCTGGAATGACTCACGTGGGCAAAACTTCAAACGAATATGTCCGCAAACCACAACAATCACTTTATTAATGGCGCACATTTTCCAACCCGCGACAATCGTGTCAGCTCGAGGTTCCCCTAGCAATAAACTCGCTTCTAAATTCACAACTGTCCTACTGTCGTGTAGCCACAATGGCTAGACTGGACCCTCGTGCAATGTTTCCTGCCATAAAAGTCCACCAACCGAACACTAGTGAAGACGGGTCGACCTTGTGTTTATGGTCTGGTGAACACAGGTCAATTTCCGCTCATTAATTTAAAGGGTTTTGGGCCGGAAGAGCGAAACCTAGCCATAATCAACTCTAAAATATCTTCGCTTTCGTGAAGCTACAGTAAGACTGGTCACGCTACAGTAAACACGGGATATTGCTATATAATGGTAAATACATAAATACATTCTATAATAAATTTGCGGTGGCACTGGCATACACGTTGTGTTCAAGTCATTCACTCCAAGTGGATCAGGTCACCAACATGATCTGTGTACTCAACATCGCCGAAGACGTTGTTGCCATGATTGTCTTTCAGAGCCTGAAGACGGTTGTCAATCAGCCGGTATCATCTCTTTCTGGGTGATGCCGACCTTTGGGCTCCAATTCGTTGAATGGCGACTTCTACGTTGGATTGTTCTCTTTGAATGGCTCTTCCTGGCAAGTTTGTTGAG